TTTGTTTATGAAAACGTATTATATATATGTTTCATCAAAAGAAAATGTTTATTTGTTACTTGATAAGCAGAGTAATACACAATAGGTTATCTTTCCTGTTCCCATAACTGGTATCGAAACCCGATTTTTATAGTTAGAAGTCCACAATTTTTCCGCTGAGTCATGACGGGGGGACAAAAAACATTTTCGATTTCATAAGCATGATATATACATAGTTGTTTCTAATTACGAAACTACCTTTTCATATTGAATAAAAGCGTATTAGCTCAGTTTATGTAGCTGGGAAGTGAGCTTTTTTTTTTACATTACTAGTTTCTATCAGCTCAACAAAGTTGACTATAGGGAATATCACTCAGTGGAGCTTTATATGCCTGTGATTATATTGTGTTATTTTTATGTGATTATATTACGTGTGTTAGTATAGTTTTAAACATACGTAGTTCTTAGTAGTTTCTTTTTCTATTATAAGAGTAAAGATGTGTGTGTGTGTTTTTGATTGAATTTTTGGCATACCTTTATTTTTGTGTACATTTAATGGATGGTGAGATAAAACAATCTTAGATACAAGTGTGAAACTTATTCCTCGCATTCAATATGAAACGTATCTTACTGATCTAAACAAAATCACCTTCAATTGAAAGAACAAATATATAAAACAGTCCTAATACAACAGAAATTCCATAATTATTGTAAAATTTCTTCTAAAAGTAATATATGCCCTCAGCGCCAAAACTGATGGCTTATAACGCTAAAAACCGGGTTTTGATACCCCCAGTGGGTACAGCACAGATAAACTATTGTGTAACTTTGTGTTTAATTACAAACAAACTGAAAGCAATATGAACTAAGTTAATAAGGATCCATATTATAAAACACAAATCACTGTTTGGACTTCTATTCATTATATTTAAGCTTATACGATACGCTAATGTTATTTTAGAATTAAACAGATTTATATTAATGACGATAAATATTTTAAGTTGTTCTTCACACTTTATAGATATTGATTGTGTTTGTTTTGCGCAAAGTTACATAATGGGTTATCTGTGCCGTGCTCACCACAAGGATTGAACCCTGATTTTTAGCACTATTACCTCTTTGATTTTCCTCTGCACGACCAGAGGGCATAAAATTTAGATTCCAACATAATGTATTATCACTATTGTAGTGCTAAGATGTGTTATTTGGCTTGTTCATTGATGTCGCTACTTAACTCCAAGTAATTTTGTGACTACAGTAAACTTACAAGATATTCCTCATTACATGATATATAATCCTGCTCAATAACAGAACAGTTTTAAAGATACTTAGTGTTAATGTGTAATATATATATTTGTAGGAAAGACAGTATATCCCATCGCTTAAGAAACGGAATATTATGATACATTATGACCTAATATAGGGATAAAATAAATAATCCATAGATTCACTTGTATCCACAACCCATAAATACCAGTGATAAGAACTTCCTTCTGAGTAATATAGATTTGAAGCAAAAGAATGATTAAAATATTTAAAAAAAGTATTTGAGGTGCTATAGTAGACAGAAAACATTAATAGTTTTGGATTACAATATTAGTATCAACTGAGGTGTTCCTCTAATGACATCCTGCTGTGAAACAGAGCTATATAGACTTAGTCGAGGAAGTGAACTGATGAAACAGGGATTGTTGCAAATGACAAACAGTTCGTTCATTTTAGAGGAATGTGAAGCACACCAAATACCTATAGAAATAAAAGAAAAGGACTCCTTCCCAATATGATTGCAGAAGTTAGGTAAACAGACTTTGTTTTTAATAGTTTGATCGAAACTTTGAGATTTAAATAGTTGTTAATGTACAGAAATATTTTATCCAACAATCTTACAGGTCTGTAAGGTTGTGGAACCAAACAAGTAAAGATTAGTTCGTTTGTCCACTTGCAACAAAGCCAGGTCTATAATGGTTACCATGACACATCTGTTTCCTAAACACACATGGATCAGGGCAGAGACCAAAGGAGGCTAAGCCACTAGCCACTGGCTAGCTAATGGATTGATAGAGACGTCATACGCGACATCGGTCACCTATGTTTAATTCTTTAATTTGTAGTTGCATGTAGGTTTTAATGAAGTTTTCTCGTTGAAAAAAACAACAATTTGAACATCGCGAGTGTAATGTTGTGGATTATTCAGAAAACTCATGAAATAATCTAAAACAAAATCTAAGTAGCGTATATTCTATTCTTTCTTTAATGGTACTGCCAGTAACAGTATTCGTTAGAATGTTTAATACGTCAATTTGTATTACACTTATATTTTTATTATAATGATTATTTTGCGTCCTAAAATGGTTAAACCTAATGGAATGTTGTTGGGATTATGGCCTAAAATATTGCTAACAGCAAGAGTATGTAACTGATGAAACACTGTGTTCTAATTAATGCAACTAAGAACAGTATATTAAATTTGGTAGACCCACTACTGAGCTGATTTTTCGTTTTGATCGAAATAGTTAGCTTGCTTTGATCAGAAGCGAATATTGTGGTATATCTGAGTGAAGTTGAATTAAATTTAAAGTACATTGGACAGAGTACAGATTCGTCCTGAAATCAATAAAATTACTTCTATAAATTTAGTCAGTTCACAGTCTTTCTTTCACTTTTTTCATTTCCATTTGTTGTTGATGTAATGGGGTTGGTGTTATTTTAATTTCGATTTCTGATTGAACATTTGAACTGTATAAAGAACATTTCCAATAAATGTAATGCATTTCATACAATAAAAGGATTCTTCATGGCATAAGTATTATTACTTTTTGTCAACAATAGATTTAAAATTATAGTTACTCAAATAACACCAAAGATTTGAAACAATATATTATAATCAATATTACTTTCTTTCAACATATAGTTAAATGTCAAGTAAATAAACAAAAATGTGACAAGATTTATGACATTTAGAAAAACAACAACATTGGTTGCAATGAAAACAAGGTAATATTTCTCCAATATTACATCTTTAAGAAAAAGAAATTTACATAGTTAGGTAGTTTATAACCACATTACTATTCTGTCCTTTTATTAACGATATTTTCTACAGTAGAAATAAAAATAAGTAAGAAATATCTAATCAGTTGAATTTAACAGCTTCATATTTTAAGAATTGATAGTCTTCAGTATTGAATGTATTTAAAATTTAATACACTAGATGGCATGGCAAAGCATACTAGGTGTATGTCATCATAATGAGTGTCTTTTCAATGCACAAATGAAATATCTGCAACTACAGTTTTTTTATGGTTTTAGTAACAAGGTATAAAAACACTTAAAATAAAATTGTATTTATCAAACAGCTGAATTCTGCAGTCAACTGATAGCTATTTTTACAAGATATTTGAATCTGAGTTTACTTGACACCACACTCTTGAATTGAAGCAACCGTTATATTAAGGTGTTCCTTCACTTCAAGTATTCAGTGGGGCCGAGCCTGGCAGCTGTATGGGCAT